TTGTTGTTACTAATTCTTTTAGTTTGAAAATTGTTCTTTGAAATTAAAGTGAATTTCAGTTTACTCCTTTTCCATTTTTCTCATTTTTTTTCTTGAGTTTTCTGTTTCAATAAGAAATCTTTAAAATTATCATGCTAGCACCGGACATTTAACTCAACCTTGAGTAACGGCCATGAAGTGGTTTTGACTTTCTAACCCCCCGCTGAAATGCATGTTGATACTTAAACTAAGCTGAAACTTTATATATAAGCATTTTTTCCTCTGTGAGTGTGTGTGCGCGTGTAATATGAGTAGATAGTCTTTCCTATCGACCGGTCAATACTCCTCCTCTTTGTCTTGAACAGCTATAGCGGGTCATCCCTTGTTTTCTGATTTTTTTCCCATTTCTCTGGCTTCTGTATTAATGCTGCCGTTAATCCCTTGTGATGTGTGCAGTCTGTGGCAACGTCTCTTCATACTGAGGGTATTGGGTTGACAGTTCTATGGTCTTTGTTCCCGACTGGTAGTTAGGAGCTCTAACTCTTTCGTAGTGTCTTGAGCGGCTGCTCTGATCAACAATTGCATAATATCGGGGTGCTTGTAGTGCCATGTCGCGCATGGGTGTTCCTGCATGCACTTCCGGTGGGCAACCCCAAGACTATATTATGTTGAAGGCTGCGTCAGCTCCTTTTTCACCATATCACATACGATGACCGTCTGCAATTATTACTTTAGGCCTTTCACTTCCATTACCAACATTATTCAATAGGATCTCAAGCAATCAAAAAAGTAAACCTTAACCAGCTCTCAAAAAAATTACCTAAACCCTTTAACATTTCCTTTTCCAACATCCGTGGCATTCGAACCAAGTTCTCCAATGTGGAATTGTTCATCTTTGAGAAATCTCCTGATATACTAGCTCTCTGCGAGACCAATCTTAATCTGTCACTCCCCTCCTCTGACTTGTCGATTCCCGATTACCTTCCTCTCCTTAGAAAGGACTCCATAACCCACATACATGATGCGGGAGTTTACGCATGGGATCATCTCCCACTGGCCAGGAACCTCTCTCTTGAATCTCCAGATCATTCATTCATGTGGTTCTGTCTATCTCTCCTCGATTCTATTATTATTATTGTTTCTTCTTTCTCTATCCCTCCCCATCCCTCTAAGACTGTGGTGTACTCGATAGCATTTCTGATAATATAGTCAAGGCTATCTCTCTACAGCCGTTTGCACACATATTTGTGTTCAGTGTCTTTAATGCCCACCATACCAAATAGCTTAAACACTTCATAACTGACCTTCCTGGCATACAAACCCTTAAATTTTAAATCACACAATCTCTCACACAAGTGGTTGATTTTTCCTACGCGTTTCCCCAGTAACCATGACAGTAAGGCTTCCCTTCTTGATCTCTGTTTTACCTCCATCCCGCAGCTCTGTCCTCTTGGCAACATCTCTTCATGCCGTCGTATCTGTTAACATCTCCATCTACTTCTCCCCCAGTAAAGAACCTCCCACCAACAGAACGTTTTTTCTGTCATCAACGAGCAGACTGGGACTCGTTCCGTGATTTCCTACGCGATGCCCCCTGGAATGTTGTTTTTAATCTCCCCGTCCAAAAATTTGAGTCTGAGGTCTCATCCTGGGTAAAAGCTGGAATCGAGGCTTTCATCTCCGTAAGAAAATATAAAGTTGCTTCTCAGCTGCTTACTCAGCTTCTACTGCCCAAAGGAATCACTACTTCCATTTGTACCGTAGCGACATATTTGATTGAAACAGACGTCACTGCCCGTAATGAGTGAAAGCGTGTCCTCAATGAAGCAAGGTTACTCTTTGCCGAAAGAATGAAACAGCGTATTGCTTTTCACAAGTTTGGTTTTAAAGATTATTGGCAGCTCTGCAAGAGCGTGTTGAACAACAGCAAAGCCACAATACCTCCATTATCCAACCAATTTGAGGTCCTGACTTCCACAGCTGGCAAGGTTGAATGCTTTGCTCGGAAATTCTCATTCAATTCAACGCTAGACTCATCTGGTGTACCCACACCCTACCCCCACCCCGCGAACTGAGGCTGTACTGAGTGAGATGATCATAACCCCAACGAATGTATCGGACATCATCTCTGAATTACTCCCTTATTGGTGGGGGCGGGATACCGGCCATTGTTCTGAAGAAATGTCCTCCTGAACTGGCTCCTGTCCTCTCCAAACTATACAACTACTGCTTCACCGACTGCAAGAGTCGGTGAAGCAGTTGGAAGTCCTCATCTGTTGTACCTGTCTTTAAGAACTCTGGAGACCCTTCTGACTCATCTAACTACCGTCCTATCAGTCTCTTACCACTCTTCGGTAAAGTCTTCGACGCTCTAATCAACGTCGAAGTGGTCGAGCAGCTTACTTCTAATAATCTGCTCTCCAACAAGCAATATGGTTTCCGCTTTGCCCGATCTACCGCTGATGTGCTCACGGCCATAAGTGAATTTGTATATCAATTCACAATAACGGAGAAGCTAGAGCCGTGGCTCTAGATATCTCTAAAGCATTTGATAGGGTTTGGCATGCCAGCCTTCTTCGTAAGCTTCAGTGATACAGCAATATTATTTGATTAATATGATCATTCCTGTCAATCCGTGAAATAAAGGTCGTCCTAAACGGGTTCTCCAGCTCCTTTATCACGAACGCCAGTGTTTCCCAAGGCTCTATCTTCGGCCCTAGAACTGTTGTTGATCTTCATTAATGACCTTCCCGATGTAGGTATCGACGCGGACGACACTACTATTTACTCCTACCTCAATAATAAATCTGGCATCGTTGACAAAACTAACCTGGCCGCCGGTCACGAAAAGAACCTCCAATCTATGGTTGATTGGGGCAGGAAATGGCTTGTAAACTTCAATGCCTCCAAAACGAAACTGCTCTCATTTACCCACCCCCCATGGACAGAGAACCCTCCCTGCCTTCCATCAAAATGGCTGATACCCGACTCCACAAGAGTGCTTCGTTACGCCTGCTTGATCTCACTCAGGCCGCTGATATGAGACATAGACAATAGCTTCATCTATCGCAAGGAAAGTTGGTTCTCTGTGTCGTACCAGAAAGTTTTTCTTAGACTTTCAAATCTATAAATCAGCCATCCGTCCTTGCATGGAATATTGCTCTTATATATGATCTGGTGTCCCCGCTGTAAGTCTCCAGATCCTCGACAAAATCCAGAAACGGATATGCAAAGTGATAAGTCCTGAATTGGCATCTAGTCTACAATCGTTTTCTCACAGATGTACCGTGGCTTCCTACTATCTCTTCTATAAATATTTTCACGACAACTCTTCAGACGAGTTGCTTTCGCTGAAAGTGAAAGTTCGGTATTTACTGTCGTGTATCTCATGCTACACTTGCTGTGTATCGAAGCCAGTTTTATTTCCGAGAATGTTAACATTGAATAACAGAAAGTGATGCAAACTAATGTTATGCTTAATAAATATATCCAGTAATTTAACAATGAGACATTTGTGGAAGAAGTGGAAAAAGAGCCTCAAGCCGAAATTGAAACTTTCTCCACTGAATAATGGATGGAATAATAATAGATAGAAGAATAGTAATGCTTCATTTGCAATTTTTAGTCAACATTTTGCACATTCTGAGGTAGGCAACAAACTATGGAATCAAATAATACTAATACTAAAAAAAGCAGGCACTGATATGTTGCACACCCCTAATATATTTTTGAAAATGAGCACTTTGGATAAAAAGCCTTTTATCGTATTTGTGATTTTTGTAAAAGGTTCTATTTTTTTCTGGTAATAATTTTTTGATTTAACATCACCAACCCATCATCCCAACATCTCTCTCCCCCTTTCTCTCTCTTTCCCTCTCTCTCCCCCTCTCCCTCTCTCTCTCTCTCCGCCTCTTACCCCTAATCCCTTAACCAACTGCAAAATGCTGTCTGTCAGTTGTGGAATGGAATGAATGAAAGACCGATCAATGGTGAACAGAAAATCGGCCAGTCCCAAGCCTCTTTAGACTGAATCTTTTCGGTAACCGTAAGCTGCTTAGAGATGTACACCATTTAGAGTGGCAGATATTTTGCTCATATATATATATATATGTGTGTGTGTGTGTGTGTGTGTGTGTGTGTGTGTGTGTGTGTGAGAGAGAGAGAGAGAGAGAGAGAGAGAAAGTAAAGAAACAGAAAAAGGAAGAAATTAGAGAGAATGGGAGAGAAAATGAAAGAAAGAAAATAGAGAGAGGAAGAAATATAGATAGATAGATAGATAGATAGATAGATAGATAGATAGATAGATAGATAGATTGCATACCTTGTAAAGTTAACAATTGTTCATTAAACATTTTCTCATAAGTGGAACAATTTCTTGGTATTTTTTATTATTTGCGTTGACCTTTATAGAAAGTCATCTCAAGTGAAAGATTTGTTTACATCAGATGTGTTCAAAATGTTTGTATGACAAATCATAATCAGGGAAAGTGAAAGTTCTTTCGATTGCTTGTTGCCTACGCATAATTACGTCATAGAAAAATGTGCAAAATATTGACTAAAAATTGCAAATGAAGCGTTACTATTCTTCCATCCATTATTCAGCGGAGAAAGTTTCAATTTCGGCTTGAGGCTCTTTTTCCACTTCTTCCACAAATGTCTCATCGTCAGATATCTTAACTTTAACATCATCACTCCTGTATTACAACCGTTTACAAACATCTGCCTAACTGAATTCTTTCCTAGATTGATTGATTGATTTTTACGGGTTATCAACCTATTGCAAATTATTTAAAGCTAAAAAATATTTTTAGATTGTAAGGATTTTTAAGGGTTATAATGATTTCCTGATAAAATTCTTACACATTAACCCATAGCTGGGGGAGAAGAGATGAATTGATACCTTTCCCAAGGATATTTGTGTATAACTGAATATAATGAACCCGACTGGAATTGGAACTTAACTCTCCGATTTCTAATTCTGAACCTCTATCTATTACACATCCCCCATATCCAAGGTTAAGACACTTATTATTCCCAAAAGGTCATCCAACTAGGTACTGACCACCCTTGAGGTTGCTTAACTTCGGTGATCGTACGAGAACCGGTGATTCAACGTGGTACAGTCATAAGCCCCTTTGCGAGAATTGTGTAGCAGCAGCAAAAAAGCAATCTTATCCGAGATCTCAGTCAATTTATACAAGTGCCTGAAAGGAAGAGGATTCGAATTACTGCAAACAACTATAGGAAAGACGGAAATCCGATCTTTAGGATAAACGTCTAAATATTTCATTAAATGGAAAAGAGTTTCAAAAATAGATTGAAATGACAAAAGAATAGAAATCAGGTTTTTCTTGAAATCACAAAGAATTGAAATTGGAGAAGTTTATAGAAATCTGCGGAGCGAAACATAATGGTTGATTTTGCTAATGTTTATTTATTCGCTTATAACAAACCTGAAGAAAACTTCCTCTTTTTAGAAAAAAGAATGGACGATGAACGAAAGTCAAAAAAAAAAAAAAAAAAAGAAACACGCCTTGGGTCAAAAAGAAACAACAAGCGATGCAATTATTTTGGACATAACCGATCGCCATGTCAACAGATGATTAACACAAGAAGCACAATGGACAACATATTTTAGTACCGTAATCCGAAATCAGACACGGGCCCCAAAATATCTTTCGGAAGTAATCAACTAAATATATTCGGCTCATCGGAATATAGGATATAAACTCCTATATTTGACGGCCAATAAGTGAAGCAAAAACAAGTAAGAAACACCTACAAAAAATGTTACATAATTCAGTAGAAATTTTTTTTTAAATTCTGTACAAACACGACTCCAAATTAAATAATTGTTTTCTGAAACCTGATTGTACAGGACAAGACACGTGATGCGCTTTCTACGACGTCAGTGCGTTTGAACTCCAAATGACCTGGAATCGGCAGAGCCCGGTTATGAGTAAATTCCTGCGCAAAACTCGGATAGGATCCGTGAGCCGAGCACCGGCTCGTTATAAACCATAAAAATGGCTAGTCAACAACCAGATCTGCAACGACTCTGAAGGATAGTCGGTGGAAGACAGCGAACTAGACCAAGCCTCGATCAACAACACATACACACGTCCCATGACAACGCGTATATCAGCGATGATTTTTCTACATACAACGCTACGACGAAAGTAAGTCCTATATCTCCTCTTTTTATTCACTGTTTTGAAGTTACTGCTATCGCAAGCAATCAGTCAGCTGTCACACACGTTTCATTAGTCTGTGCTCCCCCCCACACACAAACACACATACACACATATTGGCGTGCCATACCACTTGATTTTCTTATTTGCAATAAAAAAATTCGAAACCTTGCAGCCTGACTTGCAACAAATCATTTCGAACACTTGAACTATTTGTCTATTCATGGCCACAAATAAGAGCATTTATTTTTAATATGTAAATACATTTATCTGACTGTATAAATGTTACTATCATATTTAGCTTCGTCTTCTTCCTTTTCTGCGAAGATCATTTCTTCACGTTGCATAAGAAATTGTGTTGTATTTGTGGACACGAGACTCTGATTTTATTTTTTTCTCCTAAAATACGGGTAGACTGACCTCACAGAAATAAACGCTACGTCTGTCTTTTTTTTTTTTCGTTACTTTCTTTTACTTTTATCTCCCTCTCTCTCTCTCCCACCCTCTCTCTCTCCCGCCCCCCTCTCTCTCTCTCTCTCTCTCTCTCTCTCTCTCTCTATCTTTCTTTTTTTTTCTTCCACTCTTTTTCATAAAGCTCTTTTTGCTATTCTGGTTAACCTCTCCCTTCTATTTTCTCCTCTTTCAATTACATATCTCACACCTATTTCTTTGAATATGTCGTCATTGGTAGAACTCGTTGCCGAGTATTGAGGTACTCATTGAAATATCCTTCATTATGAAATAAGTGCTATGTTGAATCTGAAGAGAAATCCTCAGCCACCGGATATGGTAGGTTAGCAGGGTTCATGGGATGAAGAGCAAAAGGGCTTTTCTTTCAGCTATCTTCGTCTTTTCTATTTGTTGTCACGTTACCTTCTTTATTTATATCAAAAGTAATTAAATTGAATTAAATCAATTATTTGATGTATTGATAGAAAATACAAATGCCAATCCTAAAATTTAGAGTTTATCTTTCATTCATTTTTCTGTTGCTTCCTAATTGGATAATATTAAGAACTCGCAAATATCTGGTGATCGCAAAATAGTCAAAAGCAAACAGTCTTGGCTGCTTTTGAATTGGTTCAACTGTTCGATTTGATTTCATACGTCGCGTTCAAAGTTAGGTTCATCCTTGCTCTAATTCGCCAGAAGAATCGTAGCCGTTACACCGAGAAGACGTACAAATGTTTATTTCTTTCTCCGTGGGCCGAATCTCACGTAAAATTGTCTTCCAATCTTCCACGGTAAGTTAGAAGCTTCCGGGATCACCAAGAACTCAAAAGCCAAGATGGACTATATCTTCGATGAAGGAAAAGCAATGCGCTTTCAGGACGATAATCAAACAAATAAATAACACTGATCACACGAAATATTTCTACATATAAAGGGAAACAACTCAACCGTGACAATGCAAGATTGTTCTACCTTAAACTATTTATAAAAAAATAAGAAAAAGAAATAATGATAAAAAAATCGTCGATAAGATTATTATAAGTAAACCACTGAACATTTCTCTCATGACAATTTTTTGTATATATTTTCATTAAACTGAAGCCAAACCTTCAATTCCCATGCTAGCAACTCCGTGTGTAAATGCTCGCATACACACACACACACACACACACATATATATATATATATATATATATATGTGTGTGTGTGTGTGTGTGTGTGTGTGTGTGCGCGTGTGTGTGTGTGTGTGCTTATTGGCGCAAACTAGAACTTTCCACTTATTCCAACATGCGCCTTATTTCTGTGTTTATCAGCTTATTTTTTGTGTGACATCCTGACAATTTTTTGGGGGAGAGAATTTAACTAAAGTAAAAAGAAAAAAGTTGAAGAAAGAAAAAAAAAAGAAACACTAAAATCAAAACTTTGAGAAATGCTTGCCACGGCGTTTAAAATGTGTTTCTTTTCAAAAAATATCTTTCAAATCTTAACAAGAAATAAACATAAAGCAATTTTTTTTAAAAAATATATTTTTAGAGTTCAATTTCACGTCTTCTCGGAGGAAAAGAGATCAGAAAAGAGACAAAAGGGATGATGAAGCAGCTTTTTAAAATTGGACCTTCTAGGCTCTGCTTAACGTTTGTAAATTTTTATCTTAAAGATTGTCATAATTTACCTTACGACGCCCCGCCTCTTGTTTACCTTCTTGCTCGTGTTTCGTGATTGTCCAAATAAATATGAAAATAATAAACTATTACAACTGGCATCGCATGGTATTTTCGTTCGCCATAAACCGACGGCCACTTCTTTATTATTATTATTATTATTATTAGTTTCTTTGATTTCTGTGCTATATTCATTTCCTTCCGGGTCCCAGCCAGAGACCTAAGGTTAGAAATGCTACCATGACATTTACCCTGCATGTTTCTATAAAAACAAAATTAAAATACAATAAAAATACACATTTTATGTAGAGGTGTAAAACTCATCGTAGGATGTGAGCTTTCAAGATATGGGCTGCCAGGAATCCATTCTGTGAGTATATTATAACTTTTCGCAGTCAAACTCATGGAATTACTGATGCCATCATATGGCACATTCTTGAAATTTCCATTTTATGATCATTGTATTTTGAACATCTTCAAAAGCTACATTAAACACTTCAGGAACTGCTATGTCAATAAGTAAACGCACTTTTTTTTTGTGGCCATGCTATGTTTCCTGAAATTTATCATCACCAAGGAAACTTTTTACATTTCCTAAGACTTAAGGATTCAAAGTTATGACACACTGTCAAAGGCTATATAACAATCTATCCAAGTTCTACATTTTTCTTGCAATTTTCCAGGATCATTTTATTTACCAGCAGTTGATCTTTGCAACCATATGAATCTCTTCGGCATTCTTTCTGTTCCAGAGGAAGAATGTTGTTTTAATCGAAAAAAAGTAATTACAGTCAGCCAATACAGACGTTGTTAATTTATGTGGACAGACATGTTATTGGCCTATAATCTTTTAGATCGTCTGTTTCATTCGTTTTTGGTAGGAGATTATGTTAGAACATCAGTTTATCCATTCTGGAATATCACTGGGGTTATTTGTTATCAGTTAGAGCTTGCGCCGAGGTTTTATGGGTTGACAATATCAAAAGTTGGGTACGTTGTCCTTTGCTGGTGATTTCTATTTCTGAATTTTGTTAAAGCGTGCAGTTTTCTATTATATTTTCCATTTTGGGGGCAGGTTTATCCCTCATTGTCTCTTGCATTCTTTTGATCCACTCTACACTGACATTATATCTCTGTAGGTTGCTGAAAATATTCTTCCCAAATTTTTGGACTTCTTCGATATACTTTTGACCTCTATAAGTTTTGTTCAATTTCTCTGCAGAAATTCTTGAGAATTGTCTGAAATATTCCATTTTCTCCATAGAACATTGTTATTGTTAAAATTTCTTTTTAACATGCATCTGTTTTAGAACGATATGACGGGTCGCAACCAGTGACCTAGGACAATCGAAGGATATGAATTTTGTTGTTATTTTTTCGACTTAATTAAACAAAAGACAAAATTTTCCAATAGAGATAGTGGCCCACTCTGATATGCCTGGTTTTATGTTTAGTGGGTGCCAAATTTGTGCACCCTGATACAAAATGGTCAATTATTTCTGTATATTTATCACAGAATCTGCATTTTGCGTTAACACAATTTTTCAGTATGTGTACTTGGAAATTTCTAGTTAGCAAGCATTGGTTTTGTGTAGGAAGAATAAAACCTTTGGTTTCAGCTTTTAACCCTGCACTACTTAGCCGCAGATGAGTACGAGTTTTGTCTACGTCAGCTTGTTTGGTACGGGCAGAGTATTAGCCATGAAGCGGTTTATCGTGCCGTTGTTTCTGTATCTGGTCGGTTACGTTTGCTTTTGCTTTCTTTTTTAAGTATTTTGCAACTTCAGTTGGTGTATTGTGCTTTTATTTGTATTTCTGCACC